TGGCAACTTGTTTTTGTCCGGCGTTATTTTTGTCTTCCAGTCCCCGGGGCCTCTCGAGCCCAGGACGATTCGTGGAGGAGGACGGCGGGGTCTTGCAAGTGTCGTTATAGCCGTGCGGGGCGGGCAGGACCTCGGCGAGGGGGATCTCGATGCGCTGCGTGTCTTCGGGGGCGAGGGGGCGGAGGTAGGTGCCGACGAAGCCGCCGTAGAGGGAGGCGCCGACATTGTCGGGGTGGCGTTCTGCGGGTGCGCATCGGGCGTGAGCAAGCAGTGGACATGGGGGGCAGGCCGGATGCGTGGTCTCTCCTGGCAGGAGAAGGGGCGGCATGGTGACTCACCGATCATGAGGCAAAAGTCAAAGAGGCGGTCGAGGTCGAGGTCGAGGTGGCCGACCTCGCGGCCGAGCATGACACCGGCGACGACGGCGGATCCGGAGCTGCCGAGGCCGCGGCCGAGAGGGATGGGGTTCTTGATGTGGACGTGGGTCTCGACGGGGAACATGCGCTGGCCATGGCAGCGCAGGACGTAGAGGGCAACGCGCGTGATGAGGTTGACGGAGGGGTCGAGGCTGATGTCGGCGCTGCCCTCGCCCTGGCCCTCGTAGGTGATGCGGCAGTTCAGGGGCTCGGCGGAGGTGGCGCGGGCGCGGTCGATGGTGACGTGCAGCTCGAGGTAGACGGAGAGGGCGAGGCCGATGACATCGAAGCCGGGACCAATGTTGGCGGAGGACGAAGGGGTTTTGATAACGAAGGTCTCCATGATGATGATGATGATGGGGCCCTTGGCGAGGGGTTGGACGAGCGAATGAGGTGACGAGTGCCCGAGGTCCCTGACGGCGGATGATTCTCGATATGGTCGAGATGCCCTAGGTGAGTCGGCAGTTCTGGGGTTGGTCGTCGTCTATCCCACGCAAGACCAGTCAGTGAGCAGGGCCATTTGCGAGTGAGTGAGTGAGTGCGTCTGTGTGTCCCTGATCGTGGCTGGAAAATTCGGGAGCAGCCCGATCATCGGAGCTTCAGCCACAGGGCAAACGCATGGGCAGGCAGGAGGGGTCGGACCCGTGAGGTGAGAGGGGTCGGTCCTGGCCAGGGGAGCGGTGACTCAGCTTCCACTGGGTAGGCACCGTATCAAGTCAGTAGGCAACGAGCAGTACCAGCCATACCGCCGACCGTACTCGGCGTCACGGCGAGCGAGCCATGGCGCATGGGATTGTGGGCCAAAATGCCATTTTCTCTTCGCCCCTCCCCCGTTAAGACCTAAAAGAGAGCAAGACAGGGTGGTCCCCACTGTCGTCACTGCCCGACGTCATCCCCAGGAACAACATCAGATTCCCGTACGAAATTCCCATCTCGTCTGGTACGGGCGCACCGTCTTTCTCATTCGCCAAATTCCCATCCTGCTTCCCCCTCTATTGCATCACATCTCGATCTGCCCATCCCAAGTCCCACCCTGCGCGAGACCCTTTTCTTGCCTCTTGACTTTCTTGATTCTCTGTCCACAGCCAAGATCATCAATCATTCTCTCTCTCTATCCCCTCCCCCCCTTCTCGCTGCCTCAAAAGTCGCTCACGGCTTATCCCAGTCTCTGTCACTCGACACGGCCGTCTGATACCTTGCTTATTTAGGCAGTTGCTTTCCCCGTTTCCTCTCCGCTTCAGGCACTCTCAGTTCACCGAACGAGCATACCGCCTATCAACCAGCCTTACCACCCAACTCCTGCACCGCCAGCCTTACCACCTCCTGCCTGCAACACCAGCCAACACAACACCCATCTCCACCATCATCGCTGCTTCCCAGTCAACAGTGCCATCACCGTCGCGCAAGGGGCATTTCATCAGGCATTGATGAGCACAACGCCCGCCCTCCAACTCGACCGACACGTCCTCACAGATGGCCACGACTAGGGCCTCGAATCAATGACAAACTCCACCCAGCAGCCCAACAACAGAGACCTTCCACGCGCAATCACCGACTCGTCTCTCCCGACTCGCCGCCGCCATGACCCTCCTTCGCCCCAGGACCCCGGCCCCTACGATCAAGCCGGTTGCTCCTCTCGACGGAGCTCGTCCAAGCGTGCATCTTCCTCCAAGCGTGGATCCTCTTCCAAGCGCGGCTCATCCAAAGGCGCTTCCTCGCACGGCGGATCGTCGAGGCCGTCGGCGGCCCAGCTCGAAGACCACCAGGTACGGGGCAACCCCTATTTCCCTTCCGTCGCCTGCTCATCGCCCCCTGAGTCACGGGTGATGGCTGTCGACCGCTGACGCCTGGTGGCTGACATGCAATCCCGTCCAGAATCGCTCGAGCCCCTCGGATCCCGATCCGTATGCCCATCAGGTATACAGCGACGGTCTCCTGCCCACCCTTGCGAAGCTGCGCAAGGCGGAGGAGAGGGACGACCGCAGGAACTCGCGCATAGAACAGGGCGGGCGCCTACTCTTCGAGTGTAGGTCTCGGCCCCGTCCCGTCCCGTCCCGTCCCGTCCCGTCCCATCATCCCGCGCCACCTACTGACCCATGGCCTTCTCTCATACCACAGCGCAACGCAGCCCGGTTCGTGTGCCATGCGTGCAACAGAGTGCAGACCCCTGAATGGCGGCCAGGACCCGATGGGCCCGGCACGCTTTGTAACGTCTGCGGGTTGGTGTACGCCAGTCGTAAGCGGAACAACAAATCGTTGGCGGGTTTCTCCAGCCTGGATCGCCGAAAGGACGGCAAAACCGGTGGCTGATGAAGCCGCCTCGCCATTGTCGCCTCGAACAACGGATTGAGAGACGCGTGATTGACCCCCCTTCCACGGCGATGGATGTCGGGTTGACTTGAGCGAGGGAATGTTTTTCTTTAAGAACTCACGGCAGCAGGCGTTTGGAGCAAGCGTGGCATATCTACTGGCTTGTATCGATATTTGCGATCTATATATCCTCGTCTTTCTCTTTCGAAATTTGCTACTACTTCCCACGGGCCGGCCCAGAAAGGGCTCACTTGCTTCACGCTGACACCAAAAAACTTTCATCCCTCTGGGTCAGCGTACATGCCTCGACCGTTTTGATCTTGACCCGCCTTGACCATCCAAACGACACGATCGGCGATCGAGCTTGAAACTTGAATAACCATCGCAGCCATGCTTCTCCCCGCTCGGCTCTGATTGGGTCAGGACATTCTCCGCCTTTTGATGACTTGTCCCGCTTTCCCACCCCCAGTATCTACGTCTTCAACCATCGCGTTTATGTGATGCCCTCACAATCTGTCTCATCAGGTCGTCAACTTTCTCTCTGTCTGCTGGGACAGTCTATCTATGCGGCGGTGGATCCCAAGTAGTTAGGCAGCTTGACAGAGACTGAGGCTTTCGGGAGTTTTGGATTGCGTGTTCGTGTGCTGAGCTGCAGCCCGTCTACTCGATATGTCCCTCTCCAGACTAGCACAAAATCAGAAACCCAATGAGCGATGCGCAGCCATTTCGTCTGCCCCGATGTGGTTGGCAGCCACATGTGTGCAGCGATGCGTGTTGCCCTTTTCTGCTCTTCGCCCCGCCCCGCCGAACCCGATCCAACCACGCCGGTCCCCAGGCGCCGTCCGCTTCCGGCCAGCTGGCGCCACCTTGACGGCCGCCCCGTTGGTCGTCCCGTACCACCGGCACCCCGCGTCCACGGCCGTGGGCTGATCACCGAGGACTGTCCGGGTATTGCCGTCGTTGCCGCGCTTCCAGCACCACCCACTCCTGGATGTGTCGAACCGACCCTCCCCTCTGCTGCCCTGCGACGCTGCCCACGCTGAATACGAAGGCGCCGACTCCACTCGCCTGGCGAGGACGGGATCGTCGGTACAGATACGAGGAGTGGAGGTGTGGGTGAGAGGGGTAAAAATCCCCGCGACTGCCGACCTGGTTGGTCTCGGTAGTCGTCGCCATTGGAGAGAAAGCGTCGCGGCTCGGGCCTCTGGCGACGTGTGCGCTGGCAGGACGTGGACAGGGCGGCCGTGGAGACGCAAGGGTCCGACGTCACGAAGACATGCGCCATGGTCGTATGTCATGTAGGTAGGTAGATGGAGATGCCAATAGCTTGTTTTGGTATTTAAAAAGCCGAGCCATCACCGCAGACTGTCTTCCGCCCCCCGCCCCCCTCCTCCGTACTCAGCATTCACTCCGTTACCCAGAGACATCACCATTTCCCACCCAGCGAGAACATCATGCGCATCTCCCACTATCTCGGCATCTCGGCCATGGCGGCCATGGCCTCGGCGGTGACAGGTAAGAAGGCAACCCCCCCGGGCTTTCGGCGTCCTCCTCGCGGACGCGAGACTGATTGGAACCCCGCCCTTTCCAGTCTCCTACGACACGGGCTACGACGACGGCGACCGCTCCTTCTCGGTCGTCAGCTGCTCCGACGGCGTCAACGGCCTGACGACGCGGTACGGCTGGACAACGCTGCGCCAGGCCGCCGGGTTCCCCTACATTGGCGGCGCCGAGGCCGTCGCGGGCTGGAACTCGCCGAACGTGAGTCCTTCCGTGCCCTTCGCTTCCTTGCCCCCCCCCCCGCCCCTCCCCTCTCCCCATCATGCTGTCCAAGTCTCAAAGACGAGAGAGAGGCGTGCGCCGCTGCCTTGATGCGGAAGAATGCATCCGTCCATCTTGACGAGCGAGGACTGACGTGTGCCGTGCCCCGGTGGATAGTGCGGCACCTGCTGGGAGCTTGCGTACGGCGGGCGTACCATTCACGTGCTGGCCGTGGACCATGCGCTCGCCGGGTTCAACATTGCGCTGGACGCGCTCAATGCCCTCACGAACGGACAGGCGGTGCAGCTGGGGCGCGTCGAGGCGTCGTCGAAGCAGGTCGACGTTGCCGAGTGCGGTCTGTAGAAATTTGGGGGGGGGGGGTTGGCTCGACGCTGGGTTGGGGGGTTGTCCGAGCCAAGTACTTTACTCGTAATGAAAGGGATGGAGAGGCAGTCTGTAATGAAAGGAATTGAGAGCTCGTTCACGACGACTACAAGACGTATGAGGCAATTCACGAGGGTGAACATGCATTCGCGACGCAGACACGAGTTTGAAAGAGGATAAACAAATTTCAACATCCCAGAAACGCCATACCAGCCAGTATTTTGTGGTAGACCACTGGCGCCTGTCAGACCCCGACCCCCATCCAGCCTTGTCCCAGAGGAACCCAGCCCGGCCCCGTGTCATTAATGGTACAAAAAATGTCATAAAAGGTAACCCGGGAGTCCTCCATGGGTCTACTCCTCCTTTCGCAGTGCCGCGGATGACGCCGATGCCGACGCCGACGCCTAGAGTCACAAGAAAGAACAGCACGACGCCAAGGGCGCATGCCCACGCCCCAAGCTTCATCTTCTGTCCCTCTTCGCCGCCTCGCTGCCAGGTCCTCCCGATGCAACGACGGCCTTGCCCTCGTGCAGGGACCCCGGTCTCGAGCGAGCCGCGGTAGTGCTCTACCCTCGACAACGCACCGGCTCCCGAGCCCGGTCCGAGAACCAGAGCGAGACGCGACCGGCTGGCCTCCTGCTGCTTTCGGGGCGGCGAGTACCCGCCGTCGGAGGAGTAGAGGGAGTTGGTGTCGGCAAAGGGCGAAGCTGAGTAGACGGAGCCCGCGTCCTCATTGCTGCGTGTACGAGCGCGAGTAAGAGGTGGATCATAGGCCAGAGCCGGAGGCGGAGGCAGGCCTGGGTGGGCGGCGGAGGGGCTGTCCGGGGTCCAGAGCTCGACGAAGGGCTTTGGAGGCGTCGAGGGCCGGTGTGATGCGGGCGGCGTGCGGGGGGATGGTGGCTGTAGAGCGAGGAGCGGGGCTGTCCCATTCGTGCTCGCTGGTGTTGTGTGGACGGCGAGGCGAGGTGGCGGTGACGTCTCAGGGGAGGATGGAGAGCCATGGGCGTAGGGCGTGGATGAGGCCTTGTTTCCGTAGGCCATCTTCAAGGGTGCTGGAACGGCGGACTGGCGGGTTGGCGAGGGCATTGCCGGCATGTCGACAAACGGATCGTCATTTTGGCGTGTATAGTCCATACTGAGCGTGATGTGTTGGTGTTTGGCCCGTGTAGTCGGCTCTTGGGTCGTGCGAGTTGTAATGGCCTCGTCTTCAGAATTGTTCTCGAATATGTCTTACGAGATTGTAGCTAATGAAAGTACAGAGATCGTCTCCGTCAAAATGTGGTATCTCAAGCTGGAACACGGTGTTTCCAGTCGCGTCGTTGGCGTGGTAGTGTTCGCGTTGAACCGTAAAGCACTTGTATTGGTATAAAATCAAACGAGCTCGTCAAGAGCAGGGAATGGACGGCAGGGGGCCAACAGATGAATAGATCCAAACGACGAGGAAGAAGCAGCAGAACAAGAAGAAGCGAGCGAACGGCGGTTGGGCCAAAGAAGAACAGCGACCGAGGCGGCAAACAGAAGAAACGAAAGTGATGGCTCCAGGCGCGTCGTGGTTTGGTGAAGTGATGTAAGAATAGGAATAGGACTGGAATGTGGATGAAGAAAGGGAAGGGGAATCAAGAGGGGCAGCGTCGATTGAATGGAGAGGGAGACAAGAAGCAGGTCGGTCGTCCGATGGCGGGTGGGGATATCGATCGCCAGGAGGCCCCGTCCCAGTTCCAGTCCCAGTCCCAGCCAAACCAGTGGGTACGCTGAGCCTCCTCATGCTTCCTCGCCCAAAAAGGCGTGCGAGAACGCAAAACAGCCTTTTCCCGCATTCGTCTCTCCTCCAAGTTAGAAGACAAAGACCCCACATGATCGACGTAGCGAGCCTCCGCTTGCGCAGGTCCGACATGGTGCCTCCCCTGTCTCAAACAAAGCCTCTTCTCTGCCTGAACAGCCCCCCCCCCAATATCGACACCACTGCTCGCACAGCCTCGCCGCTTGGCTGCTCTGTCGCAAGTAGTGTGCGAGTAGTGTGTGCTCGCCCATGGCTGACTATTTCCCTCACTAGTAGTGTATGTGAGGAGGTGCTAGGAAGAGGCATGGCGACTTTCAGGTCGAGCGAGTAGCGGGCATTTCCCACTCGACCATCTCATCCCTGCCTCCACGTCCGCCGTCGACTTGGCTGCGTTTTCTAACCCCTTCCCTTGCTTGTAGGCGCGCTCACTTCTATCGACGTGGCAGTGTTCCCAGATGCAGGAGGTAAGCTTCGAGGAGGCAGTGTTGGCGGCGAGTAGCATGCTCACGTCCTACCCTCACACTCGGGGGGGAGGAGGGAAGGGGGGAGGCTCGTGTTTCGAACATGGCTGAAAATGCGATGGCAGCCAGGGATGAGACTCCCAATGGATGGATCGTTGAGAGACGTGCTTGACCGTGAGACCGAATCAGAGGAGAGCTGGGCCTGAAGGATAGCTAGAAGATCCAAGAGGGGGGGGCGAAGAGGGAAAGGGGTCCGAAGGGTCCAGGGGCGGGGGATTCCAACTTCAGACGCGCTAATGCACTAGCTTGACCTGATAAGATAACCCACTCCTGACCTCCCTACCTTGCCAGGCACCTACAAGGGACAGGTATCTACCTGGTCTACGTACCTGTGGCCAGCTTCTTGCTACAGTGAGTATGGAAGTGCACTGCAGTTGGTTCGCTGCCGCACCCTACCTTGGCTGGCCTCATCCTCGTGCACTGCATCCCAGATCCCAGCCCACCTGATGCGCACTTCGCTCTCATGGCCACTCTCATGGCCACTCTCAACAAGACCCCGAGAAAAGAACGCAGTTCCACGTCACAGGTCCTCACAGGTCCACAGCATGCTCGTGCATGACCTTTTTTTTCTCTGCCCTTCAGTGAGGCTGTTGGTCCGGTCCCATTCTACTCGTATAAACCCTACATACAACATGGCTGCAGCCCCCGTAGAGGCGCCCTTTCACTCTCGCCCCCTCTCGCGGAACAATAAACCCTCCACTCGCTCACGAGCTAACTCTCCCTCGGAGCTAAGCCTTCTCTGGTCCTCCTCTCCTTCTAGCGTGCAATAGACAAGACTGCTAAGGAAGAAACAGCGCAACTTTTATACAACATGACTGAGTAGCCATCGCAGAGTCTTGCACATGTACCCCCTCCATCCCTTGCGTTCCTTCACTTGTGTCCTATCCGCGCCGCGGGACACAAGGACAGTACCTGCTCGTGACCTCATTAGGTGGTTCCGTCTCGTAGTTATATACAGTGCCACCCGTCTCTGGATAGCCTACTGAGTCCGGATTCTGACTTGGTGTGCAACCTCGCACATCTCATCCTCGACTCGCCGTGGTCGTCGGTACATGCGCCCGACCAAGCTGGCCAATGGCCTCCTCCGCCACCCATCGCCTTTTCGAACCTCCTGAGGTCCCGCTCGACGAAATGTCCACGAGGAAGTGGACGAGATCAACCGTGATTCCGTCCGCGAGGCCTAAGCTCGCCGCCATTTGCTGTGTCACGCCGTCCCTGGTGTTTTGGCTGCCGCTGCTTGCCTGCGAAAAGAACCGTTGCAGCGATGTCTGCGAAGCTGTTGCCACCTGGAGGTCTCTCTCCTGAAGGACAAAGAGGACCACGGCTCGGGCGAAGTCGAGCACTTCCTCCGTCACCATGAATGTGGCCGTCGGCGAGGGAATGCTTGACGTTGTCGTGGGCGCAGTCGGCGTCACCGGCGCCGGCGTGATCGTCGACGGCGGATTCTGTGGGAACGCCGTGATCGTTGTCGTCACTGTTACCGTGCCTGTCACCACAGTCGTGACACGGTACGGAGGGGTGATGGTCAGGAAGGGAATCTGCTCGAATGCGGCTGGCTGGTCTGTACCGCCACTGTTATCGATGCCGTTGTCGTTATCAATGACGACTTCCGAGTTGGCGCCGCCTGTACGGGTTGAGCGTCCATCAAAGGTAACGAGCGAGTTCTGCGCGATGCAGGAGAGACTCTCTTGGTTGAATTTGGCAAGAATAGTTGTGCCCATCAACGGGATCGTAAAGTTGTTCTGCGCCTG